CCTCCCTTCTACAATGTCTGGATACAACCACGGTAGATCTGATTGTGCTTATCGCACTTTCCGGTAACGAAGATATTCTGTTAGACTTTGCAGTAAAAGCTTTGGGTTCTGATGACATTCTGCTCGATTAATGTGCAGGGTACGACAAGACGATGGTCGTAAAGGATAATTCTCTTGAAAATGGGCAATCTTTCTGATAGTCTCAGAAGGAGCTGACAATCCCCAGCGTTGAGATTGCTAGACTTAGTCGAGATTGCGAGTGTTTGTACCTGATACATGTACATTCAATATCTATACAACAATGTGGTGGTGCCAAATCCAGCTCGCAATCTTTCGACAGGATTCCAATATATGCTTGAATCTGGACATCAACTCACAAGGCATCGAGGCTTATACGTATGGTTTTCCTTTTGACGACAATGCGCCATCATTATTCATCATGATGCTTCAGGCGATACTTAATGTAGGCCAGTGCTCTATTGTCAAATCGATCTACTTAATGTATTCGTATCATTTAACCAAGTATGCGGAGCTTGCATCGGAAATGTATGGTACATTGCTGGGCACCTATCAATATATCGATTCTATGCGGATGTGCTCAGGTTGGCCCGAAGCTATCTGCTATCGTAAGTGACCTGTAAATGAATCTTGAACGTGTCGATCAATAACGATATCAAAAACTTATATATATCACTGCCTGTATGTTGCGTAATTATGGGCTGCTTAGAATTCCAATGAGGAAGGGTGATTTTAGGGTGATTCCAAAGTGATTTTAGTCCAGGATTGGCTAGGTCTTGCTTGACAATTGAGATACTCGTAATCGATTATCAGACTCATCCTTTTTCAGCCTCGTCAGGCTGTTAGGATTTCAACTGATACTCCAATTCTCGACAAAGGTCCACACACCATTCTATTGAGCTCGTGTCTCAGGCCAGTTTTCACTTCTCAGGCAAGCAAGTGAAAAACGAACCGACTGGGTGGCTGCACCGTTCACAAAACGCCAGCTAGTTCCATATTTCAGAGAATTTGAGAAAAAAAAGTTGTGACTGTTGCACATTCAGATCAGGTAAGAGGATCACTCGGGATATAGAAAGAAGAAATTACATGCTATTAGACCAGATGCATAGGCGAAAACGTTAACACACATTCGCGTCTCCTCTAGAAGGTTAGATATTCCTGGGAAACACCTCATGCAACAAAGAAGAAAACGGAGATTGGAGATATATAGAAGCAGGTGGCCGAATTGTATCGAAAAGAAAGCCTCTCATAGGACCACAGAGGACAATACTGTTATATATGGAGTCCTTCAACCTTGGTCCAGCGTTCCAAATACCAACCTCGAAACTCTGTTTATAAAGGATGTCTGCATGTTAAGAAGAAGATAATACTGACGAAACCAAGAGGGCTGTATGCAATTAGACACCGAGAATGTAATGTAATTTATAAAATATTTATAGTACCAAGAAGTCTAGATGTTACAAGAGCATCTTAGAATGTAAGGTACTTCATAAAGAATATATATATAGTACCAAGAAGTCTAGATGTTAGAAGAACATCTCACAATGTAAGGTATTTCATAAATAATATATATAGTACCAAGAAGTCTACATGTTAGAAGAGCATCTCAGAATGTAGGGTTTTTCATAAAATATATATAGTGCCAAGAAGTCTGGATGTTACAGGAGCATCTCACATATCAATACAGTACATGATTTTGTTGAAACTGGTTTCCTGGGACCCACGTTTCGTTTCAAATTTGGCTCGCTTCCAGAAGTCAACTTGTCTGCTCATCATTTAACAGAATTGTCCCGACATGAATACTCATCGTGAATCTGGTTTTCTCTATTCTCATTGTACAGTGTGGTAGGTTTCTATTCTGGACCTGAAGTATGGAATAAGTGAAGTATATTCTATCTAGCTTGCCGGATTCTCTCCGTTATATTATTGATTTATCTGCATGACACTAACTTACTATCTTGAGATCTTGTAGGTACCACAGGAGGTTTTGTTTTGTCAGACACACCAACCCTGTTTGTACATATGATGTAGGCATAAAGTGGGAATTGAGTTGAAGACTCGGAAACAGTGGAAAAAGAGAATTTCAAGCCTTAGAGGAATTCTCATAAATCTTGTAATGATTGTTCTCAAAGGGTTTATAATTATAATCTACCGATGATATAATTCCTTGTCATAAGGTGGTCTGACAGTGTCTACCAGCATGAAAGACAACGCTAGTCTATTATTCACGATTGTTCTGATTAGTAGTATACTAATGTCTCCAAATAGGTCTGGAATAAATTAGACTTTTTAAAAATTGCCGAATATACATGAAATGAGTTCGTATGCAAGGCAGACAAAGTGAAGACTTGGGGGTCATATATCTATCAGAAGCTGCGGGAGCGTTACAAGTTTCAAGAGAAAACTTCATGAAAATTTGGAAAAATTCGCAAAGTTGTAGCTGCGAGCTTGGGCAGCGATTTTGACTGTTCCACATTCAGATTGGCTGGAAATTAATCAATGGCCTATTGGAGGCAGAGCTTATGTCATGGAAATAATGGGATGCGCTTGAGGAGACCGAAAGTGCGGAGTGCCTTGATTCGAGAGCTCTGGTTCCATCGGTGAACGTAAGACACTAGAGTATAGAATTTTCCGAGAACGCTATGGATACAAAAGCCACTTACAATGTATGTTATACCCACTTTCATTATCCCCAATCTTATCAGACCTGACTTCAAGCAACAAGTCCACCGCTGCGAACTAGGCTGATGTGTAGCAAAAGGAAGACGGAGAGCTGCAAAAGATACATGGCGAAGCTTGAATCACAGTCCAGAAAGGACATTCATCCAACTGACTCGACCGGTTTTCCGATGATTGTAGACCTGATAAGATGCCGCGCAGGTGTGCCTTTCAAAGCTGTGTTGGAGGTATCGTGTGCGTGTGCCGATGGCCTCAATAAACATTCCATCGTGTATCTTAGATGAATTATCTGCGTCTCTTTGCCCTAAAGAAAAATTCATATTGAACACTGGGCTTTCAAGGAAATTGCCTGATGAGAATGTGATTCGTGGAAGCTTCATTCCAAAACCAGAACTAGTTGCTCTTCAAATGTAAGATCATGATATCAAGCATGGCTTGAGTGAATATGAAGTTTATCTAAGTCGAAGAGATCAGTGGTCGTTAGGCTTCTGTTACATTGTCCAGTAAAATCCAATCTGAATGGCCTGGAAGAACTAGTAAAACTTCAGATAAAGCTGTACCCGTCAATCTATGTACTTCAACATCCTGAAAACAAGACTACAAAGATTTCGTTATGAACGACGAGATTCATTTCGTGCATCTGACTGAAGTCCTATACATGTTCCAGTCTTGTAACTTCACAGTACATGAATTTCAAGCCCAGAAGAAGGAAGCAGGACCAGTTCAACCACAATCTACGAGAGCTATCTCTACATTTTGTAGACTAACAAGGCGAATCGGAAACACTGCTCGAGTAAGGTGTCACCATCGCCCGGCCAATAAGTAGGATACGATCTCTACAAAGATGTAGAATGCAATAGCTCCCATTCCTCAGTCCTCATTCCTTTAGGACGGAAGGCTAGATTTACTTCGGTAAAACGTTTTCAGATGCCGGACTTAGGAACTTTGGATTGAAGTAGTCTTCCACGTCCATACTCCCTGAAAAGCACACAAGAGTTATCGGAGTCAGTGGCATATGATTACGAGATTTTACAGTAGAAAAAAGAACAATCCATGTCCAACAAATGCCGCTGAGATGAACGCAAGCGAATTGTATGACCAGCTCTTTCAAACTACTCACAGACAAGCCCAGAATCGCTCCAAGTGAAGTCGGGCGCCACTGCAAAATAGAACTTGCTGTTGTCGAATCTGAATTTGGTCTGCGATGGCCCCGTGAAGTACCAAACGAGCAGTTTCATGTAGTACTTCTCCTTTTTCGGACTGGAATACATGGTGACATCGCATTCAACCTGCTTGACACCTGGGCAGCGATCCACTTCCACCGAAGTATTAACCCCGGGCTTCAAAAGAAATTTCGTCGTAAGAGTGCGGCGAGATGTGTCGTAAACACAGGTGCATTGTACGAACACCTCGTTGTCCGTATAACTGCCAGTCAACGCATTCAGTATGTGACTACGATTCTCTGCGGCACTAGCCACCATCGAGAGGCTCAGCCATATGGCGATCGTAGCCAGCACAGCGCTGCTAATTCTGAACCGTGCCATGGCACTCAAACTCTCCTGCAGGAAACAGAACAATTCGGAGATAATCAAACATGGTGAGCAGTACCTTCGTTCTAAACTGGAAATCTATAATGGACTAGTGGTGGCTGCTTGCAATTCAAACAAAATCTGAGAATGAGTAAGGTCATGAATGAGCTGAAGGAATGAAATCTCGAAGACTCGGAAGAAGAGATCGACCTGGAAGCTTTTGAGACTTGACGAACAAGATGGATCGGAGACAGATTCAGAGTTGTTGTGACAAATATTTTTAAGACTGATCATTCCTCGGGGTCGATTTATAGTCTTCTGCCTCCTGCAAAGAGTAGCTTGAAACATTTTCACATCTACTTTTCACCATTGAATACCTAGGTAAATCTCATGAGTGGTAACTTCAGATGACATTAATGACATCAACAAATCAGGTTGACGTCTACAGTGACCCTTAAGAGTTGCTAGTTGCCACAAGCACGGATTTCTCGTTTCCACAGGGCTATTCAACGTCAAGTCTGAGTCTGGAGCTGGGACCGCAGGAGGATCGTGATATTTATGAATCGATTGTGGGCCACATGGGTGCATGGACATGCGTGTGTTTCTTGGAGCGGTGTACCGGACAAGCTAAGGGATCAGTAGCCTACAGCTCTGCACTATTCCACCAAGATTCCCGTCTATCCGAGGGTGCCAGTGGTGTCATATCACAATGATTGATGAACTGGCTTCGTTGCCTCGTAGATAATATAAACAGCTGCGCTAGACGCAGCAGTTCATGAGCTTTCAGACTCTGACCTCCACACCATATTTCAATTCCGACATCATCCTTTGTGCTCAGGTGTGCTCATTGATCCCAAGGGAAACAATGATTTCCTTCAGAAATGTATGCCTTTGTGCACTGCTGGGCGTTACAATGGTCGCCCAGCTGATCTCAGGCTGTGACAACTCCTGCAGAAAATGCACTGGAAGTATTTTGAGTGAGTCATTCTCGGTGAAAAATTTCCTGCCAGACGGTGATTCCAACCTCTACATGGAATGTTCATGCCTTAGTCGATGCGGGAAGCTCACTGTCAAAGCTCCCGTTGATATCAAAGAATGTCACAGTGTAGAAACCTCGACTCGTTTTTGTGGACCTACACCCGAGTATGAGGAATATGACGAATCTCAGTTGAATGGTTACCGCACAAGGCAGATGATGTGTGAATTCATTTGGACAAGGCTCAATGCAGAGACAATCTGGCGCACGCCTGTCATGGTCTGGACAAGTGAAGGACCCAAGAGAACTTTCTACAAGGTCAACGCTGAAGGCTTCTATTTTTCTAATGGCGCAGATGCTCAGTGGAACAAAATGAGCGATTGTAAGTAAACTCGTCTACATCGCTCGAATGCCATGCAAAGAATGCTAGAAAAATACTTTTCGCTTAGCAAGCAGCATTTGTCTTAGAATCTTTTGCGATGAGTACGAAATGTAATCTGGCATCTGGCGCTAATCTATGAAGTATGTCTTGCAGGGACGCGGTGGAACTATATTTCATCGGAAAATCCGCTGAAGGGTGAGACAAACAAGGTAGCAAACAGCGTATTTAAAACCTTCGGCAACGAACACTGCCGGACACAGAGTTTCGGGTGCTAGAGCCACCGATGCTGTTGGTATCTGTAGAAAACTGCATGTTCTAGGATATCAGCACTGATGCAAATTAGCAGTAGGATGATTATTTCTTTCAACACATCTTGTTGTTGGATGACGATATCGTCCAGTCTCAGTCTCTGCAGTCTGTACTGATCTGGAACCCCTTGTACTTGACAACGGTTCAAATAACAAAGCTGTCTCTGCCGTATACATCTAATCCCTGTGATTCCTGGAAATACCATGCATACTTGCTTGAATATCACAACATTTCATTGTTATCAGAGGTGTAGATGTCGAAGAAGAAGCCCCAAAACAACCCGATTTACTCGAAGGCATGGAAATAAATACTACGCGCTTGTGAAATCATTCAAGGCTTCTTCCACCGAAATCATCCTTGCGAGACGCGAAATGTTGAACATGACTTACGGGATGCAAACAGGTTCTAGGGTACGTTATGTTAGAAACGCGGATGATTGGGTGATCGGGGTCACAAGGCTCCAAAAGCCCAGGCCATACAAATCAGAGAAGAGGTCTCTACCTTCCTCCGAGACAAACCAAAACTTTCGTTTCAGGCCGAAAACAACACGTATTACCAATCTATCAAGAACCAAAAATTTTGTCCTAGAAACCTTAATAAGCATAACAATTCTTAAATACGTTTAAACCCAGAAGGTGGGTGGGGGCACAAGCGAGCTTCCTTTGATAGAATACGCCTGTGCATACCCATCGATATCCTTATCGAGAAGCTCTCACAAATGGGGGCGTGTGACATAAAGGGAACGCCCAAAGCGGTGACCAAATGCATCTTTCTAAACGTGGGAGAAATAATCAACAAATGTATGGCTGTGTTCCGGGATACTACAACTACTTCTCATTCACCGACGATATCCACAGCCTTCTCCGAATAATATACGTATTAAGATACTCGGCTATCAACACGGTTGCCCGTAAACCAGGGCTTAACACGGCCAAAGTACTAAGACGCTTCGGCTCGGAACTAATCTTCCGGGACCACACGAATGATAATCAAGCATAATCTCAATTTCCCGCGATCCCTACCTACTAAGCGCATGAACTTCGCCTTGAGTCCGCCTTCGGACCCTAGAGTTCTATTTGATACAAGCTGCGCTCGCATTCAGTGTTGTACGACCTGTGTCAAGTATGCAGCTCCTACGAACAGGTTGAGATGCACCCCATAAAAAGACTAACCCGCGATAACGCGGTTTCACTAAGTTCATAGTCAAATTGAATCGTAAACAACTCCCGGTCTGCCGTAACTGTCATAGGAAGATTCATAAAACGGAACACAATGGAATGACGCTGGAACGATTACTCGCAAGGAGCAAAAGACATCATCATTAGTTAGTGACAGGGAGAGCCATATGCCGGGAAACTGGCACTTATGGTTCGGAGGGAGGTATGTGTCTTCCACATGGGAGATGGGTACCGACCCTACCGAAGAAATTGACGGGGCCTACACAAGCGGTGGAGCATGTGATCTAATTCGATTCAACATGCAAAAGCTTACCAGCCCTTGACACATGAGTAAGTGTGTTCTTCCTTAACGGAATGGTATGAAAATTCATACAGGTGTTGCATGGCTGTCGTCAGCTCGTGTCTTGAGACGTTGGGTTAAGTCCTATAACGAGCGCAACCCTCGTTTTATGTTGCTAAGACATGCTTTGGCTCAATCCCTGAACACTGGAGACTGACGAAGACTACGCCATGAAAATGGACTATACCGACGATATAAGGTTTTTGCAAACGCTGTGTGGATCATTTTGAAAATAATATTACCATACAGAGTTTTTCATAGAGTACTCTCCGAAGAGTACATTGACACTGAGTTTCTCAGTCTGAGTCAAAATGATTGACGCTCCAAGCTATGTGATGCACTCACAATGCCAGTGATTTACTGGAGGAAGGTGGGGATGAAGTCAAGTCTGCATGGCCCTTATGAGACACGTGCTACAATGACAATTACAAATCGGAACCAATGCTGTAAAGATTGTTTGAAAGTTGTTTAAGTTCGGATTGTTGTCTGCAACTCGAGAACATGAAGTTTGAAACGTTAAAAGTCGCGGATCAGCATGCCTCGGTGAATAAGTACTCGGCCCTTGTACAAACTGCCCGTCCAACCATGGGAATTGGTTTCGCCCGAAGCAGCCGACCAAATTTCGCCCATTACTCGAGGTATTTTACGCCGTTGTTGAGTGTGGTCTACTAGAGTCTTTGGTGATCTTACGTAGGAGACCAACGTTGGGCCATTGACTGAGGTTAACACGTAACAAAGTAGCCGCAGGAAACTGTGGCCGGATTGAATCCTTTTTTTCTAATTCCATGAAAAATGAAAAGTGGCAAAAAAATGGGCTTTCAATTTACAATCTCAAATAAAATATTACAACTATAAATAATAAATTGAAAATTGCATCATGAGAGGTTCTCACTTTGGTTTCGGGTTCTCTCGGTATACGTGCCAAATATCCCGTTCATTCTGTTGTCTTTGTCAATACTTTCGGTTCACCTGTTTTGTTAGGTCATGACTTCTTTACTATAATTTTTTTAAATTGTTTATGTAGGAGCCGATTTCATTTTGTTTCATGTTTCACATAAGGATAGAAGAAATTCACGAGAATGGATAGCGCTATTTACCTATAGGTTGTATTATTGAGCTTATTTTATGTTTTATATTTTGAATCACTTTTTTCGTAGAGCCATGTCTTGTCTGACACACCTTCAGACCCGTCCCCAACAAGTGGCTTTTGGCTCCCTCTCCCTATGGTCGAATGCCAATGCTTACTCACCTTCAGAACCGTCCCCAACAAATGGACTTTGGCTCCCTCTCCCTATAGTCGAGTGTCAATGCTTACTCACCTTCAGATCCTTCCTAACAAGTGGCCTTTAGCTCCCTCTCCCTATGGTCGAGTGTTCCCGTTCCACTTTTTCAAATAAAAAAACGCGTTTTCCAATCAAAAGAAATATAGATTTTTGTTTACTTTAGCTGTTGACCAACGGGAGAGGACACTCGACCCGATAGGGGAGACGTCCAGAGTGCCCGAGCCGCAGGAGCAAGAGGAGTCTGCAAAGTGGAGAGGTCGAGACAGACAATAAAGCCTATAAAGACCTGTATTGTAGCGATCGGGATGGACGCATTTTTCTTCGGGCCATGCAACCATAGACTAGATGAAGAAAAGCACAGGGCGTGAACCGAATTCTAACCCAACAACTAGGAAGCGGTATACCATAACAGCGGTATCATAATCAGGGAAAGTTTTGTTGGGTTCAAAAGCGGGATCATAATTCGCACACGGGGGTTCAAATCCCTCTTCCGATAGGAGGAAAAATATTTTTTCCTGGTAAGTAACCATATATATAAATTTCTATCTAATTTGGGATAAGGTAAAGAGAGATCAAAGATGTTTCTTAGCGTAATTACACAATCCAATATACTGTATGTTATATTGACAAAGCGATCAGTATCATATACAAAGCACCTTGATATACTTTCATTATATAGTTTGTGTACAAAGTATAGAAACGACCGATTTACCCCATATGTACGTACTTTTGTTAAAAAGGTGTAGAAAATTAGATTCCAAAATCTGTCCGATTATAAATGAATTACAAATCGTTTTAAAGGACTCATTGCTTCGAAATCAAAAAATATCTGTATGTTTTATTTTTTGCCTTCGATTCTTAACTGAATGGAAACTTTTAGATGCCAGAACCTTGCGATTGCCTTGGCACTTTGATTTCGGGTTTTTGACAACCGTGAAACTTCTACCTTTGTACATTTCAATCTCCATAGTTCATCAATTACAAGGAACGCAGTACCCTTTGACAAGTAGCCCAAGGCAATCGGGCCATTTGAGAATCCAACGTTACAAAGACGTTGTTCACAGTGCGCCGATTCGGGACGAAGGCACTCAGCCCCCAGGGAGGACTGTCAGGAAAAAAAAGGTAGAAAATTTGACCAAAACTGACCAGAAGGAATAAAACTGACAAGGCCCTTTTAATCTAATTTTTTTTCAGCTTTCTGCGTTGGCCCTGGCATGCCTAAACTTTTCAAGTGCAAGTAGCAAATGTACCTTGCTTTTTCGTAGCATATGAAAGTGCAAGCTTACAGTGCCTTATAGGTGGTCTGGTGTTCCCAGGATATCCTCCACTAGGATAAAATCTGACAAGACAATAGACCTTAGGGAGAGGCATTACGTGCTTGACCTGCCGGAAGATATTATCGAATCTCCAAAAGAAAAGATAGTACAAAAAGCATTCCAATTAGTCTTGGAAGCTATATGGGAAGAACGATTTCTAGACAGCTTATGGATACAGAATGTCACTCTGACTCACGTTTTCATTATTTCATAGACACTCACCATTCATGGGTTATCAAAGGGGATTATCTAACTGCTTCGACAGGATACCACACTCCACCGTCATGAAAATATTTACCTCACTATAATTTTTCTTATGATCACAGAAAATTATGATCATCGTGATTATGATTATCACCATGAGGATTAAGATATATATATATATATATATATATATATCCTTTTAATATCCTTATCATCAAGTTCACTATGATGATCGATTATCCTAATTAAACTACACTAAATTTAAAAATTAGGAAAACGCTATATAAGATTTTCTTAAAACAAAAAAAAATACTTTACTTTAATCGATTATAAATTTTCAGATTTTCATTTACTCCTATGCTACGAAGTTACACCATCCATTCAATCAAGAAAAATTTTGGGAGAATCAAGAATTAACAAGTAAATTTTTTTCATATCACTTCTTTACAATTTTTTAATTAAATATAGTCAGATACATGTAGTTTTCATTTCAAGATTTTCCTTCAGAATTTATTTCAATGAAAAGTATCAATTTTTAAAGTTTTTCAACCACATAACCTTCATGTAAATTCTATGTAAGTAATAACTATATTCATACAGAAAGATTGTGATTTTTTAATTTTTTTAAATTACACTTAAAGATTTTTTCTTACCAATTTGATTGTATTCTAGTTCATCTTTTTAACTTTTCATCCATTTAATGTATGACTTCCTTCAATACAAAAACCACACATGTACATGAATGGAACAGGTGGTCCAAGATTACTGTTATAATATATATATCTATATATATATATATATATGAAAAATGCATTGTACTCTATATGAATAAATTATAAGACACATTAA